TGATTTTCCATAAAAGTTATACGTTATAAAACTTAATATTTTTATGGAATTTTTATATCAAATTTTTTATTGGGAAAAGATAAAGTCTGTTAGACTAAAAATGTAAAATTAAGAAAATAAGAATAAACCCAAACCACGTTTTCACTCGAATTAGATCTATAACGTCATCAAAAAATTTTGCAATTATCAGATTGACAAAATCTTCTCGGTAAGTGAGTTCTGTTTGTTCAGAATCAGATAGTAAATTAAAAGGTGCTTTGAAAAGGAATAAACTAAAAATAAATAGTACAAACTTTAAATTAGGTGTGTTATATGTGGAAATAACAATAATCATGAATATTACAAATGCTTATATATGTCTTAGATCCATAAAAGATCGAAGTGTACTTTATGCACAAAGGTGCCTATGTATAGCTCCGCAAGAACATCCTTTATGGTACCATCCAAATTAATTACATCAAATACCGATTTACCTCAAAATGATTATTATATTTTTTTAAGAGAGGCTGTAAAACTTTGTCCCATTTATTTTGGCGGATTTTCTGTGTTTCATTTGAAGGTTCCAACTGTAAAAATTAAGTGAAGTTGTTAAATTCGGACATGAAACTTAAGCTTACAAGCAAAAAAATATATATAATTACCGAATTCCAGATCTCCCTTAAAAAACACCTTTCAGAATCTGTTAACGGATTTGAGAAATCTTGTTCAGAGATTAATAATCCGATATTCAAAGTGGCGATATTTGATAAGTTTTATTTTGTCAATGATATTACAAATTTCTTCCGTTGCATTCTGTGAAATCCATGAAGATAAAACATAATTAAAAAACTAAATAAAATACACTGTATTTAAAAGTAATGCAAACAAACCTCCTGAAATAATTGGATGCTTTTTATGTAAGCATCTTCGTTACTAACATTTTGCATATTTCGTGAATTAACTCCGTGATCTGAAGTGAAATAAGTGAAATTGAGATCCTCTAAATCTGAAAACTCTTGAACATTTAATCTCTTATTACTGCTCTGTTGCCAGGGAACGAAAGCATCTGATGAAGGAAAAAGTTGACGTAGTGGAGTATATGGTAGTTGTAAGTATTCATCTAATCTTGTACGTTTATTTGAGAGAGTTCACTTGTCCTAAAGTTTTAAATACAAAATAATTAGTCTCGCTGGTTCTCAACTAGATAAAAGACGCGTACATACTATACCTTTGCATGATCTCTCTTAGGTATACATGTACATGATCCAAAAACTAAAGTTCTATTATTGTTAATATTATTTACAAGCCCGCTTATATTCTTGAAATTTATCCTGTTGTGAGATCTTTCATTATTTCAACTTTTCGCTATTTTACGATCGCTTTTTTATCCTAATATAAGTAGAAAATATGGAATTTCAAATTTTATAAATTTTATATAAATAATCAAAAAAATTTGCAAGTTTAATAAAAGCAATCTGCCGGTTCAGCAAGAAGCCTTTAGGCGCAGAACAGAGCAACCTAGAAGGTCCCCAGCGACCAAGAAGGTCGTCTGCATCTCAGCAGAGCCAGTGTTAAGTAAGTAAGAAGCTTGAACGCAGAATAGAAACAACTAAGAAGGTCACACTAACGACTAAGAAGGGCGCCTGCACCCTAACAAAGCTACCTTACTTGCCTTCTTCCTGAAATTATCGAGAAGTTTTTGTGCCTTGTCTTTTCTGTTGACTCTTTTGTCATTAACAAATGCCTTGAGACTCTTAATGTAACAGTCGATTTTCTGTTCAAACAGTTCTAAATCACATTCCTCCAGAAAGTCCCGAATGTTCCAATTTTCAGACGAGCAGCTAAAATATTGTGTACGTTGGACATGACTGGTAAATATATATAAACAAACTACAAACCACAATTTACATGTAGAGGCTCCTTAATTTAAATTTTGACGCATCATTTTAATAGATATGCGTAGGGATGGGAAATTAACAGTTAACTGATAATTAATCGTTAATTAACCGTTAATTAATTATTAATATAAGATTTTATATAAAAAAAATTTTTTAATTTTTTATTTATCGTTATCGTAATATTAATCGTTATCGCAATATTAATCGTTATCGCAATATTACTTATTAAACGGAAATTTATTATTTCAAATAGCTATATATT